TGAAGTATGGTGATCTTAGGTGCAGGGCTGAGCTAGGAGCAGCTTAATCTGATTGATGTGAACTGGCTGTTCCAGTGACAGCTGATTCCCAAGTACTTCATCCCACCTCTCCTCCCTACTCCCCAGGAGGCTGCACTCACCCCAGCCACTCTGGGACCAGCCCAGAAGCATGGCTGAGCTCAGCCTGAGCAGGGGCTTTGGGGCCAAGAGCCAGAGAGGGAAGACAAAGACAGTCTCTTGCTTCTTCCTTTCCTTTGGTACTTCTCTGATATTGTTGTGCTAGACAGAGGATGAAGGGAAGAAAAAGCCAAGCTTCCTACAACATGACTTATTGCAAATATGAAAGTCTCATACTCAACATATCACATTCCCACTGCTTGTCATCCACCCAAAGACAGGGGAGCCCCAGCAAAGTGAGAATAAGCAATGATGGCAATTGTTGCAGGAGGGCTTGAGAACCAGTCACACTTTAAACCTAAAGATGAATCTTAAGAATAGGAAGGGGAAGGAAAGGAAAGCTGGTCAAAAAACACGCAGCAGGTAGGTGAAAACAAAAGGAACTGCTATGCAAAAAGGAAGAGGTGATGGCAGAAAACATCAGACCTGCCGAAGGCTTTCCAAACTCTTTTATCTTTGCACTCTGTGCTTCCTTTGTGCCTCTTGCTGATATCTGAACTCTGTCCATCACTGAAAGGCTATCACTGTTTATTGATTTATTTGTTCACAGCAAAAAATTACAGCCTGGTCTGCCAGATCAAGTTGTGTCAGATGTATTCCTAACAGCTTGGCCATGGCAGGGGGGACTTGAACTGCTTGGAAAATGTTAATTGAAAATGAGAGGTTTTAATCAGCACAAAGTAGCAATTGTTATGAAGTGTTCTTTTAAAAACCAAACAACCCGAGAGAACCATTGTGCCAAGCACAGCTGTACAGTGTCACTACACCCTGTCAGTATTACTTAATGAAACAAAAAGAGAAATGAAATTGTAGAAATTCCAAGAAAAGAGCCCCTGAGACAAAACTGGCAGGCGTGACTGAGCCTGCAGATTGCAAAGCAGTTGTGGTTTCTGCTAGTGAGTGCAATGAGCACTGTGAGAGTCTCTGGCAGTAAGGCAATTCTCTTCTTGGGACACAGAGCTATTGTCTGGGTTATATTTGCAGAGGTTATTACTCTTTCTGTCTCCCCTACTATCCCCTTTCCTGCTAATTCTGCTTTATCACGCGATATGGCAGCACTTTTGAAACTGCCCCATGGAGACTGGGAGAGTGTCCACCAGTTTAACAGACTTGGGCCGTTAGTCTGGCGCAATTTTTAATCATGCAGACGAAGCTGGATCCACTGGGGATGTGGAAGATCTGAAATATCTAAATCAAATGTAGCTGGGTGTTTAGTACAAGAAAGGTCTCTTGTGGCTTTAAAATGTGAGGCTGAGACTTCATTTACAGTTAATAATATTGTGTATTCAACATCCCCCTTTAATCCTACTCTCATTTATTTCCATGCCTAGTTTACATCATAGCTCAGTGAACTTTGCTGCTGTGTTAATTGTACCAGGCTCTCTGATAACATTCTAGCCTCAAATCTCAATATATTTCCAGAGAAAAAAGGAAAATTTTGATTGGGGAAAGGCAACATTAATGTCCTAAGCATCATTTAGGTCTCTTTAGCACCAATCAGCTCAGCTTTAGAACTAGGCAAAAAGCAGGTTCCTCTATCTGATGACCGTTGATACATAACAAAATTTTTGCATGAAGGAATGTGGTAAGTGAATATCAAGGGAAAGCATAGCACCTCGAAGTGCCTGACTTTGGTTTGTGTACTTTTGTAAGCTTAATGTGCTTTAACAGTAATTGAAGCAACGTTAAGGCATGTGTTAAACCAACACTTATTAAACCAGAATTTTGGCATTAGATGTACTTTTCAGTATTCACAGCAAACTGTTTCATGAGCATGATAACAAAGCAAATATGCAAAAAGGATTCTTTAATGGACAGCTTTTATATGTCTATGTCTATGCATGCACCAATTCATACAAATCAAAGAATAACCTATGAACTTATTTAACTGTTTTCATTTGTATATATAAACATATGTGCTTTCCCATGCTTTATATATTTATCTTTATGTTGCCAATGATTTAAAAATATGACTGTTTTGTAAAGCGACTACAAACATAAATCCACAGATTAGTGTGAAGTGTGAACTGTGGGTGACCACAGGAAATAGAAACCCTCTCCCTGGACTTTGCAGACACTTTAATAGTGTCCTGATCGTTCTAATATAGCAAAATGAACAGAAGGATGGAGTGGATACAGATAAAATTGCTGATTCTGCAGGAACACATTAAAACAAAAATCTGGCGATTGTTTGAAAACTCTTTGCAGTGGATTTATGGGGTAACATTCCTACACATTCTTTAATTATTCCTATTTGAATGTAGCACAGGAATGCATGTTGATCTACTCAAAATAGCTGGGGTACAAACTAACTGTAGCAACAGGGAGCTCAGCACAGCTGCAAAACCTACCACAAAGCACAAAAAATTGTTCTTGAGGAGCTCTACACTACCAGGGTTAGCAGCTGATTTTAAGCCTATATAGGTATGTGTCTAGCACACTTTGTAATGCCCTGTGGGTGCCCTAAGTGATCATTTGATCAAGAAAAGTAGGACGTTTCCCCAAAAACTCTCCAGGCTGATATTTGCCCAAGCTTTGGAGTTGGTTTTCTTCTGACTGGACCATGGGGCAGGCCAGTAGACCTAACTGTCCATGGCTGGTTTTAAAAATACTGCTAGATTACTAATAACCAGTTTATTAAATGTATTTAGGCATTGAAGAACAATTTTAAGTTACATGAACTAATGCGTCAAGAAACATTCATATAGATGAGAAACTGAATTAAAGACTTTCCTCTCATCTTAGACACTGTGACTGTAGCACATTGCTCACAGGTTCTACAGTAACCGGAAGTGATAAAACACATTAAAGCAGTAGAGAAACTTTTACATTTTAACAGTCTGATATGTCTTCGTTTAGTTCATATAACAGTACAGCTAACTTCAAAGTGGTCACAGTATTCCCATCATATATGATGCCCATCTCATCATATGTAAAGGACTATGGGCTAGTGAAGGTATTGCATTTCATTACCATGTTTAATTATATAATTTTCTTGATTGAATATCAATTATAAGTAAACAAGTCTACATTCTATGGATATACCAATTTCAATATTTGGAATTTTGGTCTTCCATCTTACTTCAGTGAGCAATATTTTACGTCTTGTCTGCATACACATTTTGTATATACGTAAACCTATATATGAACCTACTGACATTTATAGCAGAGTGTTGCTGTCTAAATGTTCACAGGGCAGGATTCAACTCACGTGACTTTTGACATTTGAAAATTAGATATCCAAGCACAACTTAGGCAATTCTATTCTAGTTAATGGAGACAATCTGGTGTATTTACAGGATGATTTTATTTTACTTTTCCAGGTGCCTATTTTGGGATGAGATGAATTATCCTGTAGAAAAGCCTATGACTATAAAAGACATTAGTTTTGACTGAAGCACTTGAATAGTAGACATCCAAGTTAGAATGACTAAATCTCATATAAATTACTACACCCGCTCAAAAAAAAATAAAGTGCAGCTTCAGCATTTGCATTCATCTGATTTGTCAGTGTTCATTCAATATGATTATTGTGATTATTGACTTCTTGAATGTTTGACAGTCTCCAACTTCTGTCTAAGAAGTATGAGTAAAGTCAAAACCAAACATAGTATTATGTATAGAAAGAATTAAATGTTGTGTCCTACAATATTTCAAGAGAGGTGTGAGGATGATATAAGTTTCTCTTATCTGAACTAAAATTTTGGGCCCTCTGCTGTCATTAGACTTTTATTAGACACAAATTAATGAAAAAAGTGACAAAAGAATTACCCAAAGTACAGCATGCTGCTCAGCCTGTTATCTCATAATCACCAGTATTCACTGTTGCAGGCAACAGTACACGAAAACCTGAACGGATTAACAAGTAACTTTATTTCTGTGTGACTATCACAGAAATAATGAATTAATAACTTAGAACTCCATTATTGTGTGAATTTATGATTTTTATTTGGATGTTGGTGAAAAGGGAACAATGTAGCAAATCCCTATTTAACTGTAAAAAAAATAAATTCCAACAGTTATGTGATTAAGAATTCTAGCTCATGAACTTATGTAAATATAGAAGAATCTCATCAATCATTGAAAAATTACTGAATTCAACCTCTGTAATTACAAAGAAAATGTAGAAAGTGTGGTTTCTAAAGAGTTAAAAATAACTGAGCAAGATAATATAGTCTAAAATATAATTTGTTTAAAAATAATAATTTTTGAGGCTAACCTCAGAATTTTTTTACCCAAACCCATGCATTTTGTATGGTTTAGATTGCCAGTTCTGTATGTTTGGTTACAGTGTGAAAGTTCCTATACTTGTTTTGAAGTATTTGTTTGGGTGGTAGAGTTACTTATTCAGGAGATTAAAATCTGTGACATGACTTAAATGATCTATCCACTCACGCAAGCAATTCAGCACTTAAGGATTCTAATTAGTCTTGTCAAAGCCAATCCCAGAAGTCCCTCTGACTTAGTGGTCCAGGATCACACTACACAGCAGCAGTTGTTGAGGTTCATGTACTGGCAGATGTAGCTGTCCATTAGCATATTTAATGACTTGAAAAACACAGCAAATTAATTTCATCCTACTTCATTCCTGAAAGCAAAAGATATCTGTTATAGTCCTTTAAAATCTAAACAGAAACACTAGATATACTTTAAGAAATAGCTTTCCTAGGTAATACGTAAGCATTGTATTGTTGCAACGTGTCTGCAGGACAATTGGAATCGTCTTTCATTCTGTCGTACCTTTCCCCTCTCTTCCCTCTCTCTCCCTCTCCCTCTTCTACCCTGTTTTACTTCTCTTCCTGCTTTCTGGTTTACCCTTTTAGCAGTACAAGATCAAGACAAGCTACAAGGCATTTGCAGCAATCCCTACAAACACATTACTTATGGAACAGAAGGTTAGTGCTTGCTCACAGACGTGGGAGTTGTATTTGAGTATATTTGAGACCATTCAACTTTATGTACGTATTCTGACATTTCTGGGGGGGATATTGCAGAATGGAAGCTCTGGTAACTAACTGCTCAGGATTATAATTCCAACAATTTTTCAGGGTCAATGACTCTCCACTGAAGATCAAAGCCTTCACTACTCAGAATTTCTGCAAATAAATTTACCATAAAAAAAAGTGTCCTAAAGGAATTGCCATTTATGGCAACATCTTAAAGTCTGTTTTGTTATTGGAAAGTGTCTGGAGCACTGCTATTCTGACCAATCAATAGATCTTGGTCAGTTAATGATTATTTAATGGTTATGCTTATACTAGTAAATTTAACGTCTCAAGATAAGCAAATCTGACCAGCTTTACGGTTAAACTGTGAGGGTAGTCCTGGCTGTTGCACTGGCCTCTGTTAACTGCCATTCTCCCAAACAACTTCCCTGAGCACTTCAACAGTTAGCATGGGCCAGGGGTCTGTTCCCAGTAAATAGTCTGGTGTAATAATCCTTTTCTGTAGGGTAGGATGATAGATCCAAAGAACAGTCTTTAGGGCATTTATTTGCTACCAAAGACAGAGCCAACAAAGGCTGGGTTGTATAATACTTAGATAATGCAACTCTGCAAGTCAATTGAAAATTTAAATTTTACATGAAGGGTTCTAACTACCCACCAATGTCTACTTAAAAAAAAAATTTCCCAAATTGGTTTTGCACAAAATATTAGCCCACTGTTTAACAAAAATTTCCTATGATGAGCAATGAGCTAAGTGTCTTATATGTTTAAAGGCATGCTTAATCGCTCTGACATTGAGTTTATGGCCATATCAGAAAAATCTTCCTGTGCTCCTAGTTCAGGAACTTAGCCTCTGATTAATTTCTGTAAGATTGAGCATTCCTAACTACACATTTAAATATGTATTCACATACACAGCTCAGTTGATTTCACTAGGAGTTTGCAGGGCTTAAAGACATTGGAGAGAGTGAACTTAACTGTGTAAAAAATTTGAAGGTGATAATTTTGTCCTTGAAATATCACTGATTGTGATCTAGTAGTTCAGTTAACTGCTATGATTTTTTTTTTTTTTCAAAGAAGAGACATACCTATCTTTTCTAAGGAATTTCTTGAATGATTTTTAAACTATTTGCATAAAACTCGATCCTTCCCTTCCTTGAATCTTGACTGCACTAACGAAGGCTATGTCTGCGTTAATGTGCAATGTGGTCCAATAGAAATGGATCTGTAGATGAAAAAAGCTGATGCAGGGGGTCCTACACCCTCTGGAATGTATTATGGGAGGGTCTTGTTTGGGCAGAGTGCCTGTTAGTGACTGGAAGCATTTGGTGAACTCCTGAAGTGTTACTTCAGGGGTGACTTAATCTAAAAGGCATCCAGTTTGTGCACTCTAAGACTGAGCTACTCCTCAAACCAAGCCAGGCAGGTGACTTTGAGCAGTGTATTCACTTTGAGAGCATACACATTGATGTGAACTAGTGGCTTAATGTCAGCCATCTGACTGCACTTTTTCAGAAGAGAATTCCTTTCAATGGTCTTGTTGATGCTTTCTGGGGCATTGACTCACAAGCTGTGTCCTACTTATACCCAATATGTAAGACTGAATTGTACAATCTACCAGCAGTATCTGTGTAAAAAGTAATGACTCAAAAGATATCTGTGTTTAGAGACTTTTGGTTATCCACCACTACTGAAAATGCTAACTTTGGTGTATCCTTCAGTAGCGAAAGCACAGTCATGTAAAACTAATAAGAAATCAATTTTCTGCTACAGGATTTGCCTTCAGGAGAGGCTCTTGACCAATTTACTTTGTAAACTGTATGTTTCAGCATGGCATGACTATATGCTTACTCTCATCTTGGGAATTATGGACAGTAATCTCCTATTGATCCATACCAGCAGCTAAGTTGTCCTGTTGTGTTAGCTGACATGCATTTGGAGTATGGCTCTTAAAGAAGCATGAAGGAGTCACATGACACACACAGGCCCATTCTACTGAGCCCTAATATCCAAGTATTCTCCTCAAAAGTAGTGGAAAGGGAACTGGGAAGGAACTCATGCCACATTGTAGCTCAATGACAGTAATTATGTTGCTCCTATTTTATGGAATGCATTTTATGCAGTGGACTAAAAAGAGAGAGATTCAAGACAGTAAGATTTTAACTACGTAAGTGATGTTTTCTTAAGATCAAGATAATGGTTATGTGAGAAGTTTTAAGTGTGGGTGTTTTTTGTTGTTTTTGGCAGGGAAGGCAGACATGTAATATCTGCAAGGCACAGATGTTACTGAGCTGAATACGTGATTAGATATACATCATCTGCTTAGAGTACTAAAAAAGTGTTTTGCTATGCGATTGAACCAGAAATGCACATTCTCAGAAGGAAAACTTTTCCACTGTGTGAGTAATTATATTACTTAATTTGAGTGGTCATGAGAAATAAGATTAGTCAGAACTGAGATGTGGGTGATCCTAGTGACAATTCATGTGCAGTATTAATTAGATCCCATGATAGAAAACTGCCATTGATATGTCATGTGAGGTACAATGCTTTGTCTGCCTCTAAATTGTCTCCTTGTGTTTAACTTTCTTTCCCAAGTCAATTTTTTCTTTGATGTGTGTGTAGATGCTTTAATTTCAGCCAGCATTTTTCAGCTGCTTCTTATGAAGCTATCATCATCTTAATTGGTTTTCTAGAACATGTTCTTATCCTCCAGTACTCTTACTTAAAGTGAGTTGTTCAAATCCATGCTCATTAGCAGAGAAGAAAAGGCTTATTGACTATATATGTATATTTTGGCAACCCCAGAAGGGGTTTAATCTCATCAAATCACATAACTGGCATGCTTTCCAGCTGTTTGAGTTTGTACGAACCTGATGTTCCTCACATCACCTGTGCTCCGCTCAGAAAAACTCCAATCCAGGATATCTCTTGGAAGACTGGTCTGTAACCTCCTTCACAGCCAAAAGAGCAAAAGCTTGTTTTTAGGGGGCTTACCCTCAGCATGGTCAGGCTCTGTCAGGGAGTAGCAAGAGTGGGCTCATACCCAGGGAAGGTGAACTGGGAGCCGGGGCGATAGCAAGGCTGACAGGACAGTGTCCTCACCAGCAAGGGCACAGCTCCACGGTGCCCGAGCAAGAACAGCAGAGATGGTGATAATGAGCTGGTGGTAACCATGATCAGTCAGCAGTGCCATCGTAGCCACACAGATTCATAGCGATGAGACAGGTCCTCAGACTGTGATAATGAACTCCAGCCCAACAGATGATAGGATCCACTGGCCAGAACAGGAAGATGAACAAGTTTAAAGTAGGCATAAGGCAAAAATTGAACAGAAAGAATTACTTAACCAGTAGAAAAAAATTTCTGGAGACTGAAATGGCTCTTTATCACAGAAATTGAAAAAAAAAACAAGATAGGACACTTTCCTGGCACTTCATACAGTAATTCCAGATGGTTCTGTGGTTTAAAGAAAAGGTCAGACTAGATGATTGCTGTAGTCCCTTCTGACCTTATTAATGTTGAGTCAGTGAGTCACCCCTCTACTGACGTTCACTTTTGTATAGCTTCTACAGTTATATAGATGTGATCACAGTCTAATTAAAAAATCAATTCCTAATCAGATAGTATTTAAAAAGTAATGCATCTATTATTTAGAGATTGTATTTACAAAATACCTACAAAAAAATCTTTCAGTCATTGTAGACAGTGATTAAAAGTTTATTTCAGGGAGCTTCAGAAAAATTCTTAACTTTAAGTAGAGAGTCTCTTAAAGCAGATCCCACTTCATCTTCAGAATTATGTCAAATTGGAGATGTAACCTCAAAAATGTTGGATCCCTTGGAACTGCAAACCAAAAAAGTCTTCTCTTAACAATTCAGTGGTCTTTGGTCTACAGCAAGCTCTATGCAAGGGAATTTGGGTTCGCTTTGTTTGTCCAGATAGACACCCCCTCTGCATGCTGATTAGGACAAACTTCCCTTATCTGGGAATGGGAAGGAAACCTGGGCATACAGACTCGTGGGGCAGAGGCACCGCAAATGTTCTGCTCAGATTTTCCCCAGTCTGAACTGTGGTGAAACCAGGATGACGGGCTGTGCCATGAAACACACCTGCTTCACAGTCGAGTCTTATCCCACACTTCCCAAGTCTTCTGCAAAAGCACTAGGTATAACTAGCTATGGATGGAAGAGGTGCAAATGAAAGCACTTATCTGGCATGCATTTATCAACTAATTACAAGCAGATAACTATAATTTCAATTTTAAATAAATGTAGAAAACCCCTTCTGTTTTAAAGTATAAACATTTTAGGTTATTAATTTTGTCTGTTTATGGCTGTTCTTCATGTTTTCTTTTATCACAAGGTGGCAATTTGGCTAACTTCGAGAGAGTCTAAAACAATCTTTCCATATAATTTTACACTTCTAGCAAAATTCCAAAGACGTAGTAATCGCATCCCATAACCTACACAGCAGACTGCCAGCAGTGCATTACATTGTTCTCGTGGAGAAAAAAAAAAGAAAAAAGGAAAAAAAAGAAAAGAAAAGGAAAAAAAAGTGTTTTCCTCCTCATGCAGAATGAAAAAGAGAGTGTTGGGTTGTTTTTTGGGTTTTTTTTTCATAAAAAGAAAGAAATGCAACTGAGGAAATATGGCAGTGATCTGCTACTTCGGAGAGCTAGCTTTAAGTTGTTGCCTTGAGGGAACTCTTATGTATTGTACTATCAAATGTTCATTAGTATAGGGACTGATCATGGCAAATGCAGATTCAAGTCGCTCCTAGAAATTATACAGCAGGAACTTGGAAGACAATTTTTCCCACTCTTTGATGGTAGACTTAACTGCTGGATAATTTGCTACTATCCAGCATGCCAAGACCTTTGTGGATCAGGAAAGCATTTCTGACAATACTTTGTTGAGAATATTTTGATTAAAAAAAAGATTTTAATTTTCCCCAAGTACTTCTGGTACGCACTTACTAGGCAAATTTCTTGCATCCAGATTAAATGCTTCTCAAGGATAGAGATAAATACATAGTGGTAGGAAAAAAAGGAAATAATTTGTGCAGTCATAGAGTGATAAAGGACCTAGTTAATCTGTAATAATAACCAAGCGTGTCAATGTAGGAGCAGACTATGAGCTCCCTCTTTCTTTCAAAGGCCTTGGAGCTTTTTTGTATTAATTATTTTTGTAAGAGGAAAAATAGTCAGGTCTTTTCAGTTTCATTTCCCAGGATCTTCAAGGAATAAGTTAAAGGAACTTATGGTATATGAAGTTCCATTATACACAGGGACTTTTTTGCATGTGCTGAAGGCTTAGAAAAATATATTGATGGGAAAAGCGTGCAGGAGAAATAAAAGAGGAAACTTGGCTTTTGCTCAGCTCGGGGTTTTCACAATACACTAAGAAGGAAGCCGTGTCAGATCCAGGTTACAATACTCATTTTTTCTCCTACTGTTGATGTGGTTCATTGGTAGATGAAACAATGTTCTATATTTCCTATGTGTTGCCAAGAGCTTTCATTCTTGTAATGAAATATTGGAGATCCTGTTAGGATCATTTATCAGTATCCTTTCAGCTCTGATACAGCTTTAGTAATCAAATAGCTTGGGGGAAAGAGGAGGGAAGGGTTGTAACCATCACTGACATCAGTGGCATATATGCATCACATCCCCAAAGTTGCCCTTTGCAAGAAAAAATCAGTGGTTCAGCAAAAAATTATTTCATCTGAACATTTGAATTCTGTCATAAAGACGTTTTCATTCTCTAAATTGCACTGTTCTTTTAAATTGTGATCCCACTATTTTTTTTCGTATATAATAAAAGAATTCTAGTGCCTAAATAGCAATGTTCCACTTTTGATATTGTTAGATCATCAGCATAAGAAGTGAAGCTTGAATACTGTTGATAGCGTTAGTCAACAGTACTGTAGATAGCACTAATGCTTCAAATTAATCATAACACTACTGCATGATAAATCCAGTAATGAGTTCAGAAATGCTGGTCGTACTTATTGAATCCCACATTATTCTCTATGTGGAAATGTAAAGAAAAAAAAAAAAAAGGCACTGCATGAAAAAAAATTGAGTTGTATTTTGAAAAGATAACAGATTAAACAGCACATTTTTTCCCTGTAGAGGGGACAGGGATCCCTAAAATCTAGTTCTCTTTGTTTCTTCTCTTTCTTTGGAGGACTCAGGCTGTTCGAATAGAAGGAAAAAAAAAAAAAAAAAAGAGAGAGAAAACAACAGTGAAAGAAATTAGATGGATCACTTCTCCTTTCCCAAAGGTTCAAAAAGGGAGAACACTGAGGCTTTCTCTAGCATGGTTCCTGCACAATAGCCATATCTCAGGGGGACTGTGGAGCACATAGGCCTTGATGCTGTGCTCACCAGAGTTCTTCAGTCAATGAAGGGTCCAAAATGCAAAGATATTTGGCTACCCAATTTCTACTGAAACTGGTGGATGTTTGGTACTTAAATTACCCAGCGTCTTGGTTCTGAACAGAGACTTGTGCATGTGACTGTAGTTCCTCTAGAAAGATTCCTCAGTATATTCTGGGTATGTTTCTTACCCTTGATTGTGTTCACCCTCTCCCACTGCTCTGGTGAAGTGAATATGAAACAGGAACATGCATTTTTTCTTAATAGTCTTTTTATTATGTTCATTACCCTACGGATTTGTTTGGGGTTTTGAGAAGCTTAGCAATTTATCCATTCCAAACCTGTGACTGATTAAAATTCATTGTTTTTCCTAAATCGCATTCAGACTCATCGTCTCTCTACAACAGGCTGCTTTGGCAGTCCTAGCCCCAATGGGTACTGGAATGACTCTTGTACTTAATTTTATTGCTTCATTTGTGTTTATCAGGAGGATGTAATCTCAACTGAAGCTAAACCAATGACACAGTTCTCAAGTATAGCGCTGAGTCCTCTTCAGCTGAGCGCTTCTCTTCTACAGGACTGTCTGTTGATCTGAGAATTTAGCTGGATAACAGTGACGAGATAGCAGAGATGAGATAGACTATTCATCTTGTCATCTTCTGTCTTGACACAAGATTACACTAATTTCTATGTGTCAAAAATAATAATTCTTTTACTTTTTACCTTTTGAACTACAACTACTCCAAGGCCAACAGGTTTGTCTGGAGCTGGAGGAGAGGGGAGAAATGTCTGGAAAGAAATTGCTTTTCATTTTTTTCTTACTGTACTCTCTGACAGAAGACATGGTGTTCCATAAATATGTTTCTGTGCAGGAACATTTGTGGATGGCATTAAAATAATATAAAAAGTAAAATGTCATTAACTTTTTAGTTTGCATACATTGATGCATGCTTCCAGTGGCTGGGCAAGGAAAGAAAAAGAACTTGTACTCAGCAAAATTAAACTCAGAAATAATTATTTAAGTATATGCTTATTTTCTTTTAAAAAAAAATATCTGCCCTTTTCTTCCCAACTCCAAGTATGTCTTCTGTGACTGGCAACCCTGATACCCACCTCACTGGGATCAGTCTGTTCCCAAAGATTCCCACATGCATGAAAAAGTATTTTACAGGAATGCTCTTTTTTTTCTCTTTTATGATTTTTTTTTTTTTTTTGCAAATAACTAGCAAAATAAGGCTTCAGAAAAACATAATGTGTTAAACAAAAAATCCAGAAATCCTTCAGATCCCTCCCCTGTAGTCCAGCTTCATGCATCAGCAGGCTTCCAGAGTAATTTTTGGTCTCGACACGGAGTCTATTTGAAAATCGCTTCAAAGCAAAAATGGGTGATGGTGGTGAGAGTGTGAGTTGCAGATTCTGGACACAGATGAAAAAGGAACTGAGCACTGGAGTTTGGCTTTTGAGGGTGTTTTGTTAGTTTCCTGATAAAGCGGAGGAATCAGTAAACTGATTCCCATTGTTCTCAAACCTGCTCCAAGTATGGGACTAGGAAAGAAGGAGGTATATCCAAGCAAAGAAGCTTGTGTTTTGTTTTGGTGAGATTGTTTACCTGCTTAGACTAATTTGTCTTGCACACTAATGTGTATTAGTGTGGTATCACTATGTACCATATATATATTTTTCTCTACGCAATTCTGATTTGGGGCTAAAATTCAAAACCATTTGGCACCGATTTTGTTGCAATGTGGAATCACCATCCTCTTTAAAAAGGAGGCACTTCTTAAAGAAAATGTCTACTGGAGGAAAAGAAAGGGTTGTCTGTGTGCTTGGACCCCTGCCTTGTCCACCTGCTTACAGCCAGTGGGTTTCCTCCGATGGTGCGTGGCAGGCAGCCTCCGTTGCCTCTGGGGCACATGGTGCACATTCACTGCATTACATTCACTGTCAAGGAGGGGGGAGTTGTTGGAGAAAGCAACTTAAACTGGTAGTTTCTGATCTCTTAAAGTAGAGACAATTCATCTAGCTCTCTCCCTTTCTGCACGCTCTCCCCCAGCCACCTAATTCAGAATCAGAAGTTGGTAACCTGAAGAATGTTACTAGGCCTGTAATTTCTTTTTCTGTCTTTCCACGGTGAAATGAAAAGTGCCACATTTGGAAACACAGTATTGCAATAGTGTATGTTTGCTTGGTTTTTAAAATTTTGAACTCAGTACCACACTGAAATCTTTCGAATTGCAGGCATTAGAAGAGCCAACCAAGATTGCTAGTGTGACTGAAGGCACTGCTTTGGACACCCATTCAGAGGTAGTGCTGTTATATCTCTTTCAAATCTCTGTTTGAAAATGAAAAGCAAAGATTAACTGAGTGATGTGTCCTCCTTTTCAGATGTGCTCCCCTGCCCAGCTCAGACAACAAACAGAAGAGCTGTGTGCTGTCATTGATCAAGTCCTGCAGGACCCATTGACTATGGTAACCCATCAGTATGTGGGATTGACTTTTTATCTTAATTTTCTTTTGTCTCTTGTCATTAATAAGTCTGTTCTCTTTGAAAATAATTTTCCAGCGACGATGCGAATCTTCTCCAAGTTTCCTGCAGATGAGCACAGAGTCAGATGTTGGCAAGGTAGGTGAATAAGCCCAAATACTCTTTCCAGGTAGACATAAAGCAAAATAACAGCAGTAAAGCTTTTGGCGAGAGGAAGCTTTATTTAAGAGATGCGACATCAGTAGAATTGTCTGGCGATTTGAAAGACATGGAAGGACAGAACTGTAGACCTGGAGTCAGTGCAGTCTTTGTTGCAGGATGCTTTCCTGAAGTTAGGAGTTATATTATGAAAGTGAAGCTGTTTAAGGTTTCAGAGGTTAGAAAGAAATCCTTCATACCTTGCCTTCTGTATTGCAGGGTCTCTGGCCATCTCCCAGATTTCATCCCGTCTGTGGGTCCTTGCTACAGAGAAGCCAACGTTTCTGGCTTCACTGATTGGAAACATCTTTTAGAATTGTTTTTTCTTTTCATATTCATTTTTGGTTTTCAAATATTGGGGTAATTAAATGAACATGTAAACTTGCTCTTAAGTGTTGTTTCTTTTCAAGTCTGGCCCCTCACAGGAGGGTGATGTCTCCTACATCCATTTGCCCTGGATAACTCAGAAACAGGTAGTGTGAGGCAGGAATAACTTTCTGTACTGGCATTAAACTTCTGGTTTCACTGTGTTTTATTGATGTGTCTTCTGGGTTCAGAAGGACAAATAACCAAAGGAGGAGAGTCTGTATTAAGTTTGCCTTAAGTAAACTTAAGTTGGTATTACTAGCTATAGGAAAGTTAAAATGGCAGAAATCCAACTGGAAATATGAGGAAAAGGATTTTTGGCAGAGGAACACATAAAAAAATTAACACATTCAAAATACACTGCACAACGTCCAGTCCACCATGCAAAAATAGAGCATAGAACCAGCATTCCTGAGTAGGTATATTCAATACATTTCATACTTAATTTTAATTTTTAAAATTATTTTTGTCAACTAGCATGCAGTGCTGAATCAGGCTTCAGGCAGCTGAAAGGTGGAAACAGGATAGTGGCCAAAAAAGCAGGCAGAGACTGTTATTAAGGATGTGTTTTCTAATGCCTGCAATGAATCTGAAGTGGTTAAAATTATACTACTACACTGGACTTTTGAGCTATAGCATCCAAAACCTACTTCCTTGGGCAATTGAGAATTGAGTCTTGACCCAATGGAATGCATCTGTTAGCAGTCATGAAACCAAATAAAGGGAGCAAAAGGTAAGTTTGACAGGATGCAGCATAGCGACCAAGCTAAAGATCATGAGGACCTCAGAATGAGAGAACAAAGTACTTAAACTGAGGGTAAAGGAGAGTCATAGGCAGGAAAAGAGAGCGTACGTTATGAGTAAATGCCTTAGAAATAGAACAGATTAGTCAGAGGAAGGTAATTCTTGTAGATGAGAACATGGAAAGATGGCCTTTCAGGTTATTTTGTGAGCAAATGTAACTTAAATTTCATGGGGCAACCACACCTGTGGCTGTAAACTAATAAGCATTTTGTTATGGGAGTTCTCAGAAATAATTTGAAGGGCAGATTGAATAGAGTAAGATCAATGTTTTTGGGCAGTAAAAATTAAATACAATATTTTCTACAATAAGCGTCTCAAGCAAAACAGTGATATACCTCATTCTATATATCTCATGAATCTTTATGGAAAACTGAAGTTTTCTTGAATTTCAGCAATAACCTGACACAATGATGAAAATCTCTCTGAGTTACTCCTCAGAGTAACTCTTTGCTCTTAATATAACTGTTTGTATAAGGTATCAACAACACTGCAGAGAGCAGCCGGGCGGGAAACAAGATATGTAAGTACTTTTATAATTACTCTATAATTTGCATACAGAAATGTCTAATTTGTCTAATCTTGCTACTGTACTACGTGAGTCTGCACATAGCAGATACAGGCAACTACTCATGACATGAGGTGCTGTCTCTAGTACAGAGAAGTGAGTATATTAGAGCACTGGCAATTGAGACTTGAGAGGTCTTCTCACTGCAGTAAATGCATCGGCGTCTGCTGGTAATTTTACCTCTCTGAATATGATGTTAAAATTAATTTATTCACTCACTTCGTTGTTTTTTGCTTTGAGCATGGGCAAGATCTCAGCTATTTGGCAGTCTGTTACGGGTGCTGAAGGGTTTGTTTGGACTCAGCCTGCACTGTAGGGGACTTGCTTTGGTAGAAGTCCTTTGGCTCTTGCCTATCCATCAGAATTTGAGGTTGACCCAAATTTTTCCTTACAAGGTACAGAGCTGGCTGAAAACCCACAGTTTAGCCTTAGATGAATAGGAGCTGTTTTGTCACATGCACACATGTTCCAACACACGAAGAAAATCTCTCTATTGAGTTACCAGTTCAATTATTGAAACATTAAACCCAAATAACATTTTAATTCTCACTAGCACACACAGTTACTGCAGGTTCTATGTTTTACTTACACCTCAGCTAGTCATGTGGTGAGAAATTTCTGCTTACTATTCATCATTCAGCATTTCTATTGAACCTTAAATCAAAGCAGTGCTGGCAAAGCAGTAAAGTCTTCCCAGTTTTATGCCAGCACAATGCTTGACTGATCAATACCATTTTGCTTCTTGAATGTGGTGATATGCATATTTTATTGCATACTGGCTTTTACTTGACAGATTGTGCTGGCTCATACTAATCAGAAGGGATATTGGAAGAGAGCTTTTTAATGAAATAAAAAAGTGTGTTTCAGAGGTAGTCTGTGAGAACAGACTATATTTAATGCCACTCAGGTGCAGATCTTCAGCTCCCAAAACTGTGGCTGACATATACCATAAATTCAGGGATACAGTTAGGTTTTCTTTGCTGGCATAGAAAATCACTGTTACAAACACTTCCTTTCCAGTCTCCCCTGGAACTTTCGAGATAAATGAAACAAGTCAATGTTTAAAAATACATTTGGGAATAACGCAGAGGATTATCAGTAGGCTAGCTTTTTCCGTAAGTTGTACAAGCATATTGAATTTTTTGTGTGTCAGAAAAGAGACTGCGGTCTCCAGGCTGTGCTGTGGTGGCTGAGTTTGGTGGGGCCAGGCTTTCCTGGACTCTGCCCTTGATGCACTCTGCAGCAGAGTCTCCTGAGGGACAAGCCAGCTGTCCCTAACAGCCCCCGTATGTCACAGCTCTTTCCCCATCTCTTGCTCTGCTTCCTTGGTAGGACATACAAAGGCTATTTCTGTCCCAGCTAATAAACCAGGCAGTGGCTTGTCCTCTGGCTCTTAGAATGAGGGCATGCTGAGGTGGTTTTCCATAGAGTTGTCTTCTCCTCTTCCTCTTCCACTTCTCTCCCCTCAAAGTGAGCCGCCCAGCCCAGCCCAAGATCCAAGGCAGCCTCATCCTTTCATCTCACTGAGAGCAGCATGCTCCATGCTACCACACAGACCACGATGGAGAACCGTCTGGAAGAGTGGTAGTTGGTGTGGACCAAAACATGCAAGAGAATGTGCTAACCATTAACTGGAAAGGACCCGTTCCTGGGCCTCTGTGTGTGCTGACTTATGTTCACTAGAGGAGGAATGTTCTGGGGGCCAATGTTTCTTCATAGTAGGTATAAGGCGTCTGTTTTGAAACAAGGTGCCTACTTAGAGCCAACCTAACAGTGTCTCCGGTAGAAATCAGGAACTGAGTATCGTACAGATATTTGTTATCATAATATCAAATTGTAAGCTTCCCCAGGAGATCTGTGGTGTCTCCTGTGAGCTGTCTTGGAGTAGTGATTTTCAGCCATTCTTTTTTGCAAATATTTTTCTTTTAGAAGTAAGCTTTTAGTTTATGCAACTGAATTAATTTTATTAGAAAGAATTATAATTGTAACTTAGCAAAATAATGTTCTTAATCTTTTTGTATTCATGATGTCTGATACTGAGATGCATGTTAAAATGTTGCTTTGAGGGTGTTTTTCTTAAACGAAAATCTTTAATTTGTTTATGAGTCAGAGACAGGAAAACCTGTCATCATGCTGAAGTGTTATTTATAAACACAAACACACATGTAAATGTGTATGTATGCACACATGATAATATTACTAATTACTTCAGTAGGTTACATGGAGTAGTAGACTATACAAATATTTTGAAATAGCCTGCCATTTAACAATTGAAATGGCATAGATTTGCCTTGGCCTCAATTATTCTTTTTCTTCTTATGCGCTTCAGAACCTTTTAAGGTTGTAAATGATGGTACAAATAGCATAAAAAAAGTATGGAAAAATACCAGAATTCAGTGAAATCACAGCGGTTTGTACCCGCTGACAACTAAGTACTACAGTTGTCATTTAAGAACTTTTTGAACTGTATTGTTTTTTATATGATCCTGTTCACCATTTTATAATAGTGCATCTCTGTTGGCTTTAGGGATGATATTGCCGATTTGTAATAATAATATAACAATTCTCTAAATAAATTTTATGGCTATTGAGTGTCCCACTATATATACTTAGTTGTTGTGTTCCGATATAATTACTATCACCAATGAAAAATTTCTTAGCTTTAATTTCAAGTTCTAGTAAATTTATAGTTTTGTCATTTAGCCCACACACAACTATTTTAAAAATAATTTCTCATGATTAATTGGAATAATTACTTTGCATATTATTGACACTTTGGTCTTCTTGACAGCTTTACTCTAAAAAAAAATCTTTTTAAAATGTTATAGACATGACACACAAGTGAAAAAATGAAAGAATATGAAGCAGCACACAGACATGCAGAAATAAGTAGCGCTTTTCTTTTTTCTTTACACTCATATACATTTCAGGTAACCCTTTTGAAATGAGATTTATTCTTAATTTGCACCACTGAAGTGAGAGAATTTAATTCCGGCCAGCTTGTATCTGGAGATCATTCTGAAGTGCTTTGATGTCTTTAGCTCACAATGAGATTGGTTGTCACACTTGGTTAATGGTATCAAAGAGAGTCCTTAGTATGTAAGTAATACTCTGCCAAGGGCAGAAGGTGTACTTCTTTTAGATTTAGTGCTAAATCACAGCTGTCTCTGTCTGGGTGGGAAGGTTTCCTCCACCAGTGGCTGTGTTTAGAGATGTCAGTGTGAGGAGCACAGTCCTCCACCAGAACTCACAGTGATGCTGTTCTCACCACCAGTGCAGGAGTGGAGCCCACAAGTCCAGGCAGTGATTAAACATCTCTATTTAGCACTTGGGAGATCAAGTTCTAAAGATCCAGAGTTCTGTGGCCAAATCTCTGGAAGGTCTTTGTCACAGGGGAATAAATGAAGAGCACGTTCTTACCTGTGCTGGAATTGCTTTTCTGCTTGAAACTGTGAGAAGAACGTATAGTTGAGTGGATAAAAATTCAAGTGTAGTAGTCCTTCTGCAGAGGGTGCAGGCTGTACTGCAACTGTCTTGTCTTCTACTACAGCTGTAACACCTAATCATTGTACATAGTACTTTTTCTACCACCATACTGAATCTCAAGGGCCCCAGAACACACCTACATCAAGGAAGGGCATGTTATCTGTACAGAAACATTGTTACCCATTGGAACTCCTACTGAGATTGAAGGACTTGATTGGAGGGATCAATGCACCAGAAATTCTGAATCTCACCATTGTGTTGGCAAAATAGCATGTGGCACATGGCTATTCCACATACACAGACAGATACTTTGCATTTATCGCATTTACCGCATTTACCGTAGATCTGGAAAATAGGGCTTGTGCTGTTCAATGTATACTCCAAAAAAAACCCCAAAATAATGCTCGAATAAGACTGTACTGGTTTTTGTAATGTAAAGTCAGAGGGATAAGAAAGTTGGACTGAGCTCCCAATACAACTGGAAGTGCTAATAACATTGATGCTGCAAATTAACAGATAATGGCAGGCTCAGAAATGTCAGGATTTAATGTAAGGATTTACATTTTGAGATTAAAACGAGATGAAAAATTGAAATTTTGTTCCACTTGGAAAAAAGTACCCCTAAAATTTTAACAACAGGCATTTATATTCGATTATACCTAGAAATAAAATTGAAATGACACTATTTTATGTTCTCTTACCAACTGCATGTCACTGCATTGGCTGTGAAAGCTTCTGTACCTAAGCATACTGCTGTCCATGGATTTTTCTTCTGTCATCACTACAATCACCATGAGGATAGGCTGGAAGAGTCGGGGTTGTTCAGCCTGGAGAGCAGAAGACTCTGGGGAGACCTTCTAGTGGCCTTCCAGTATTTAAAGGAGACTACTCAGAAGATGGGGAGGGACAATTTACGAGGGAGTGTAGTGATAGGACAAGGGGTAACAGTTTCAAACTGAAAGAAGGTAGATTTAGATTAGATATAAGGAAGAAATTTTCTACTGTGAAGGTGGCAAGGCACTGGAACAGGTTGCCCAGAGAAGCTGTGGCTGCCCGCTCCCTGGAAGTGTTCAAGGCCAGGTTGGGTGGGGCTTTGAGCAACCTGGTCTGGTGGGAGGTGTCCCTGTCCATGGCAGGGGGGTTGGAACTAGATGATCTTTAAGGTCCCTTCCAACCCAAACCTTTCTATGATTCTATGATATTGTATGTAATGCGGTATGTATTTTCCTTTTTTGCAGGCCAGCCTTTACAAATCGACACCTATGGTAACAGACAGTCAGCTGGTAGGTATGGCACAGCTGTAATAATGCTGTTTTTCAAAATTTGCACAAGCACAAAATCTAAAGTAGTTACTACTTTCTTAGTCCTTTGAAAGAACGTGCAGCCAATATCCTCCTACAAAACTTCGTTGCTTCTACAGAGCTGCATTGCTTTCATCTGTACTGAATACACACCTGTTTTAAGTAACTGTAAATTCTGACACTACCTGTAAACCCATGAACCAAGTGACGAACTAGAGAGTCTTGCTGAATCTTGAGGTGTATGACAACTCTAGAATCTACTGCTTGTTCTTGGACTCTTTTAATATTCCAATTCTAAAATTTTATTTATATGCAACAACGTTCTGGCATCTATTTTCTTCTTACATGCTGTTTCAAATCAAAGCTGGCTTAACGAGTGAAAAGCAAGGGTAAAATCAAACAAAGAAATAGAGATTATGCATCAGATGTTCATTTTAGCTCTGGTCACAATTTAGTCCTGTTGGAGCCAAACATTCTGAAGGAGTCAGAAGAGAGGCCATGGAGCCTGTCCAAGTGACAGTGACTACTAATGGATGCTTAGGGAAAAAAGGAGATGTAGATGAGAAATTTTCTCCATTGCATTTCAGCTAATGGAATTTTAGGGACTTTCTGAATCAATTTCTTCTCTTTAGTAATCTTTGACCACTTCTTTCATGATTTTTTCCAGTTACAATTTGAATCTTGATATATTTTGGTTTCTACAACATTCTGCGGCAATAGGGTTTACTTTTTACTATGCATTGTGTGAAATAGTAATTTATTTCTTTGTTTTAAGCCTACTACTTGACCTCAGTTCTTGTACTGAAACAGCAAATAATTGTTCTTTCTTCATTTTCTAAGTGATTTTCTAGACATTAACCGTAATATCCAATCAGTCACCTCTTTTTCATACAAAAAAGTGAAAATTGCTTAGTCACTCTTTGAGAAGTGTGGATACTGTCCCATATCTTTGATGATCTTTGTTGCCCTTTTCTATATCTTTTTCAAGTTTTTGGTTTTGAGATTGAGAAAATAAAACAATAAAGTGCTCTTTTCTAGCTCTGAACACAGCACTTCCTGTTTACATGGTGATGTGATAAGGTTCTTTGTTGTTATTTCTGTTCCTTTCTTAACAATTCCTAGTAATCTGTTTAGTTCTTCTTACTTATATTGAGCAGTAAGCAAATGTTTGCATGGAACTATGTACGATAAATCCAAGATATATTTCCTGAGTAGTGAGTGAGAGCTAGTTTCTGAGCTACCTAGTTCACCACTGAATGTGTAAATTTAAGATTTAGTTTAGTTTTTCCCTGTGAAATGTATCAATGTTGAATTGAGTTTTCACCTGTCTTTTTAGAATTCAGTCAGTCAGTATCATATCTCTGCAACTCTTTGCAAAACAACTGATATTTTGGTTTTACTCCCTTGAATGATCCAGTATTACCAGTGAACTTTGTCACCTTACTAGTCACTCTTTTCTAGCTGATCTACATCCACAATTCAAAGCCCAGATTCCAGAGCATGTCTCTGAGGTACTCTATTTGTGACTTGCGAAATTTGAACATTCATTCCAATCTTTTCCTTCCTATCTTTTAACTGGTCCATAGGACTCTCTTTTACTCCATAACAGTTACTTTACTTAGCATAT